TTGGGCAAATGGCAGGCTCTCTAAGCCTGTAACAGTAAAATCCCCAGTGCTTACCACAGGGGTGCACCAGTGAAGATTCAGCAGAAGACACTGTGTAAAGGCTTGGCACATACTAAGTGCTCAAAAGATAGCCTCCACTCTTAACACTGTAAGGGGCCCTGGTGGCTCTATTGGGTTAAGCATTGGATAGCTAACTGCAAGGGGGCCCTGGTGGCTCTATTGGGTTAAGCATTGGATAGCTAACTGCAAGGTCGGTGGTTCAAATCCACCAGCTCCTCCTCAGCAGAAAGAGAGGCTGTGGGCACTGGTAAAGATTTACTACATCAGAAATGTATGTAGAGTCCCTAAGACTTTGAATCAACTTGATGGGGTTGGGCTTATTACTGGATGGTGGGAATGGGTCACCAGGGTGCTTAACTGCCACCAGAGTTCCTACAAGGCACTCGTGCCTCTGGCTTCAACGTGCTGGCCTGCAAACCAGAGAACTGAGTTATGTGATCCCCAAGCTACCTTCCCGCAGTGTGATGATGAATTCTGTGATTCTAATACGGGAGTCTTTTCTTATGATTTGCTTCCTGCCCTCCTACGCCTGCCTACACATGGAGTGCAAGGGGAAACCCTACAGTTTGTTAAGGGAGCCTGGCTACTGTTTACAGTACTGTTTACAGAAGCCTGTGTGCCAAATGCTCGCTGTTTTCAGTCTCCGGCTTTCTCGAATGTGTTCCCTCTCAAGTTCCTTAACTGCGCTGCTGTTCCCAGAGTCAGAAGGGACTCAACAGCCACTGGTGCCAGGACTCGCCGCTCCCTCGAGCCTGTGCTCAGGATGAAGGCAGCTCATGGGGTTCACTCTGCTCAAGCTCCCTCACGCAGACACAGGTAGCTGAGAGACATTAGCTTTTAGGGAGCGATTGCCAAGTAATCTAACACTTCCCAAACAAAGGAGTCCTGGTGGCACAGTGGGTGAAATGTTGGGCTGCTAACCAAAAGTTCAGTGGGTCAAATCCACCAGGTGTTCTATCACTTAGGAAACCATAGGGAGCAGTTCTACTCTGTTACATAGGATTGCTATGAGGCAGAATCTACTCGAAGACAGTGGGGTTTTGTTTTCTGCCTTTTCCTAAATACATGGGAATCCAAATCGCTAGAGGTCCAACTGCAGGGAAAAGACAGACCCACCATCCCACCACAGAAGACGGACATGCTTTCTGCTCTTGTCTCTTCCAAGGTATCATTGGTGTCAAAAAAGAAAGGGGAATCAAGAGGCTCGAGGACATCTCGTGAACTGCCAGATTCTACTGCCTAGGAACTAGGTAGGAGACTGGGGAATGGCAAGCCTGGGTCGGGGAGACCGCTCAGTCCTGAGGGGCTGCAGTGTGAAGGAGAGAGATTTGGGTGTTTCCATCACCCCTTGTTGAGCTCTGGTTTTCCTAATCCTTAGGGTCCTTCAGCAGACCCATCTCCCGAAGAGCACACTCAAGATGTAAGGACTTCCACATCTTAAATGCTAAAGGAACAGGCCAACAGCACACAACAGCCCAATCCAACCTGCTCCTGCTAGTTAGCGAAGTTCACAGAGGTGGTGAGGCCATCCTCCGCTCCTGTCAAGACTTACAATCTCAGAAGCCCCGTCGAGGGTCATGCTCTGCCTTGGATTCAACTCGATGGCAGTGGGTAGATTATCCATAATACATTAGATCCCTCTTTGAACCATGAAATCTCTTCTTCGAACCATGGGTTATTTAGGTTTCCGAGTATTGGAGGATTGCTCATTCTCTTTTTGTTTCCAGCTCAGTTTTGAGATTGTCGGAGAATAGTCACTGTATTCATTCAATATTTTGACATTTATTCAGCTCTGTCGGATTTTTGGCCCAGCATACGGTTGGTTTTGATAAATGTTCCTTGTACATTTACAAAGAAAGAGCAATTTGAAGTTATTTGGGGCGCTGCTCTATATATGTTCATTCAATTGTGTTGTTCAAGCTTTCTGCGTGTTCTCTCACTCATGGAGAGAAATGTATTGACAGCTCCCAGTCAGAGAAGCCATTCGAGATGGAAGGCAAGATCCTTGAAGTGTGGTGAGTCAGCAGGTGACTATTAAAAAGAGGTGACTAATGTGGCCTGTATTAGAAATGGATTGAAATTGGGGGGAAGATGCAGGCACCCAGAGAAGACAGGGAGGAGGTTGTCAAACGGCTGGTGTGGAGGGGACAAAAGATTTGTCAGATCAGGGCATAGTAACTAATTACTCTATTTGAAGATGTCCCGAGTTTCTATCATGTCAGCCCTTCCCCGTTGTTCCAAGCCCTCAATACAACATGCTACCCATGAAAACACAGAGCAAGAGAGCTTTGTTTTGTTGAAGACAAGGAAAGAACGGAGTCCTCAGTTCAGCTTGTTTGCTGCAGAACAGAGGCAGCCCTTGCAGTCTCGGTGAAGTTCTGCCTCCCAGCACTTGGGAAATCCAGGGCACCAGCTGAGTGCTAGACCCTGACTAGCGACATGGAATTCCTCCAAGCATAATTCAGGAGGGGGGCTATGTGTTTATGAACTGAAATATGACAGTGTCAGGAGATCAATGAGAGAGGTGACCACAAAAATGCCACTCTTACCCTTACCCCTCTGCCTTTCACCTCCCACAGCCCACAGACATCCGAGGGACCATCTTTGTGCGGGCGTGGAAGGGGAGCTCGGACCATCTTAGTTAGAGCTGAAGGACAAGCACATCACAATTTGCATCTGGAAAACCTAACCTCGAAGCATTGTGGTCAGGCATTAATGTTAGTCAAGGGCCTGGCCCAATTGTCAATAAACAGCAATTAATCATCAAGCTATTTTTGATTTCTTCTAGCTCCCAAATTTCATGTTTCGGGTCCAGAGAAACAGCAGTGGGTTTTTGTTTGTTTGGTTTGCTTTGCTTTTTCAGTTAAATGAAACCCCTCCGCCCCATCACAACCATCTCATACATAGTAGCATGGCTATTGGACAAAACCAGTCACCGTCCATTCTGACTCGTGGCAACCCTACATGGCAGTACAGAACTTCCCCAGAGGGCTCCCTAGGGTGCAGTCTTGGTGGGAGTGGATCATCAGGTCTGTCTTTGGGAGCACTCCCTGCTAGACTCAAACCACCACCTTGCAGCTGGCAGGTAAGCACATTAGCTGTATGCACCACCCAGGGACTCTTCTATTGATATATTATTGGGTGTCGTGAATTCTGATCCACAGCCACTCTATTGGACAGAGCTGTCCCCTAAGGTGGGTTTCCTCGGCTATAATCTTTATGGAAGCAGTTTGTCAGGCCTTTTCTCCTGTGGAGCTGCTGGTGGGTTTGTACCATTGTCATTTCAGTTACTCGCAGATCACTGATCAATAAAGTTCCCAAACCTGACTAGGTTCAAGGGCTGTATTAGTAGTTATGTGGTACATAACCTATCACCCAAATACATGCCCCTCCCTATAAACCAAGACCAAAGCCAAACCGCTTGCCGTCAAATTGGTTCTGGCTCATAGCCACCCTACAGGACAGCGCAGCACAGCCGCAGACGGTTTCCAAGGCTACAATCCTTTATGGAAGCAGACTGCCAAGGAGCGGCTGTCAGGTTTGAACAACTCTGCCCATCAGACCTTCTCTTCCCAATAGATAGTGGGTTAAAAAAAAAAAAGGTCCAGTTACTCTCTCATAGCTTCTGTGGGTCACGGATTTGAGAACAGCAAAGCTGGCTAATTGGGGCTCAGGATCTCTCATGAGATGTCAAGGGCTGGCATCGTCTGAAGACTGGTTGGAGCCATTGGCACCGACCCAGGAAACTCACTTACATGGTTGTTGGCAAGCGGTCTCAGCTCTTTACCATGTACACCCCTTTGTAGGGCTGCTGGCTTCTCCAGGTCCAAGAGTGTGAGATCCGGATGCCTTTTATAACCTCGGCTGGGCAGTTGCACGCTGTCTTTCACTCTGTTCCCGTCATCAGAGGGAAATCACTGTCGGGTGCACGCCAATGAGGATTGTGTTGTTGTTGTTGTTAGGTGTCATCCAGTTGGTTCCGACCCATAGCGACCGTACGCACAACAGAATGAGACACTGCCCCGTCCTGCACCATCCTCGCCAGTGTTCCTGAGCTTGAGCCCACTGGTGTTGCCTCTTTTGGAAGAAGTGCCAAGCCATTTGTGGACATATCTTTGAAACCATCACAGGGACATGTAGCCGTGTGCTCAGTACATGGTTATGAAATCGATCCAAGGGACCCTCTCCGATGGTGACATGAAACCTTTGGAAATCGTCTTTCTTCTCATTCATAGCCCCAGTCCCAAAGAGAAAACAACATTTGGGGCCTTTTCTAGTCCTAAGATCTTATGAGCCTCCACAGACAACTTTCAAAACACTATTCCCTGTAAATAGAGACTGTGGTAGTGAGTGGAACGCTCCCTTCTTGTTTAGTCAAGGGCAGACAAGTCACTCTATGAAACCCTTCCGTGTGTGGAAGTGTGCTTGCTGGTGACCTGACTGATTGGAAGAGAGCTGGTGACCTGACTGGTTGGAAGCCTCAACACCGTGCATCCTGAACTGCCAACCAGTGATGGGGAAAAGGCAGACGATACGGTGGAGCTCAGGGAAGGATGGTGATGGAGAGGCCTAGTCAGCTGCAGGCATGGACACATTATTCTTCTAGCATCCGACTTACTCTTTAAACATTTATTTCCTGCTCTATTCCAAGAAGGATTTAAGACTGCTTGGTTTTGTACAAGTGCTTTGAGCGCCTCAACAAATCAATCTCTTCTCCCTTTTTTTAATCAGGAAAATGATAGATATTTTACTGAGTTTCTGTTAAGGGGGATGAAACAATGGATAAATTGTTGCTCTGCAGGGTAAATGGAATGAATGTCACTGGAAAATAGTTGAACTGGTAAACCTTTTGTTAAATAAATATAGTTCACCCCCCCCCCAAAATGAGGTCATTTTATTATTTTATCTTTAAGAGTAAATCTTTTTTATATCACCTTCTGTCTTGTTTTCAATCAATAATTTGAAAACAATTGGTAAAAACACTTCTGTTAATCAATATTTATAAATATGTGGGATCTTCCGTTGTGTAGAAATCATACTTATTCAAAGCTGAGGTCCTTTGTGTGTGTTGTTCCACTCTCTTTAGTCTCTTCTTGTTACCTTAGGTCCCCTCCTCCCATCATCTTGCCAACTTAATGACTTCTTGTTTTCAATATTCATAAAAAGTATTTGGGAGTACTCATATGGAAACGATGGTTATTCTCATAATTGTGGCCTTCTTTGTAGGATCCAAATCTTTAAAAAAATAAAAAAGAAAGAAGAAAGAAAAGCTATTAGCATGCACAAACCATTTGAAACAGCAGGAATGCTCTATGTAAAACCCCAAGTAGACTCCATGGTGATTTTACTTACCTGTCATAAGAGAAAGAGAGCTGTTATTAAACAGAAAATGAAAATACAAAAAAGGACTCTTGCATATGGAAAGGCAGACTACATTGTTAACTTCCAAGATCTCTCTTTCTACAGCAATAGATCACTCTAAAAGCACAACTCTTTAGGAACTGTTGGCTGCTGACATACTGAAAAATAAGTCTGAGTTTTCTCACTCGCCTCTGTTGGAACAAAATCCATTTTGCAGGCAAAGTGGACATGAAACACGAACTATTGTTCATGTTACTCTAGTGTGCAAGTTCTATATCTTCTACAAGGGCTCAGCTGCTGCAGATGAGCTGTTTACTTGGCTCATGAATGACTAAGCATCCTGGAAAGAAGCCAACACGTGAGCCAATGAGGCCCCGGTTGTCCTTGCCTTCAGCAGTCACGGCCAGCGAACACCCATATCGGAGGGAGGAGGCGGGGACATTTGTCTGCATTATCGTCTCGAAAGGATAATGATAAGGAATATTCACATTTTGCATAGCCTTTGATCCTGCTGTTCACATTGAGAACTGGATCCAAAGAAAGTCATCCAAGATACGGCCAACAACGTAATAAAAGAAATTCTTGGAAGAGTTTTAAAATAGTGGAAAAGTAAGTGTCCGAAAACACCTAAATTGGCTAGCTAGATTTTGATACATCCACACAGTTGCATGTTAAGCAATTATTAAAAATAAATTTAAGAGAAATATGTGTTATGAAAAGAAGTTAATACAACATGATGGGGTGGGAAAAATCAAACTGATAATGAGATTGAGTATATTTCATACATATATATGTCATATTGACAAAGTTGAAATAATTATACGATGTATGCATGTTGATCATGCAGTCATATAGAAAGCAAAGACACCCCCAAAAAACTACCGGTGATAACCTCTGACTTGCTTATGCTCCCTCGAAGATATGCTCTGCAGAAGGCTAGCAACTTGGTCTTCTTGGCCATTCTGTTCTCAGTGCCTCTCTAGTACAGACCTGTCGTGGTGTTGACAGCCAGCACTCAATGCTTATTTGTTGGATGAAGGAGTTGAAAGAGATGGAATTTGGAGAATGCTTAGTTTTCTTTGCCTATTTCTACTTTATAAATATTTATATGTGCTTATCTTTTGTGATATGACCATTTAAAATGAAGGCAGGCCTTCTTGTTATATTTCCATTATTTTCATAATTCAACTGAGTGGGAGAGTCCATACCCAGCTCTGCTCACAGGTGCTTACGATGAATCTGCAGTTGTGGTTAGTCAAAAATATGTTATTCAAATTCCCCCACACTCCCAGTATGTAAAGAATAAAGAAATAGGACCTTCTTTTGCTTACACAACTGTGAGAACCAATAGGACCTATTAGTTGTTACACTTGGATCCACCATCAACTCTCATGGAAGCAGCAGTCAAGAAATCAAATGGCGTATTGCATTGGGCAAATCTACTGCACAAGAGCTCTTTAAAGTGCTGAAGGGCAAACCTGTCACTTTGAGCAGTAGGGTGCACCTGACCCAAGCCATGGTCTTATCAATTCCCTCCTATGTATGTTACAGCTTTACAATGGATAAGGAAGACAAAAGAAGAACTGATGTCTCTACATTATGATGCTGGCAAAGTATATTGAAAGTACCATGGACTGCCAGAAGAACAAGCCAATATGTCTTGGAAGAAGTACAGCCAGGATGCTCTTTAGAGGTCCGGATGGCAAGAGTTTGTCTCCCATACGTTGTACAGGCTATCATCAGAGATCAGTCTCTGGGGGAAAACACGATACTTGGTAAAGCAGAGGGTCCCCGAAAGAAGAAGACCCCCAGGAGAAGGAGCAACAGTGGTTGCAACAGCGGGCTCAAACACGACGCTGAGAACACCACAGGGCAGGCAGTGTTCTCCGCTCATGTGCACAGAGGCAGGATGATAGGAGCAGCTCAACCACAGCAGTAACAACGATGCTGTCCCTGCTGCTCACTTAGAGTGACATCTTTAATCCTACTCTGGTTTCTATCTCAAAAGCCACCTCAGTCAGCGAAAGGGGAAACTTCCTATATTATTTGCCCTCTTGGGTAAGCTTAGACTGCTACTCACTGCAATGTCAGTGGTTCAAACCCACCAGGTGCTCTGATGAGAAAGATAAGGTTATCCGAGCCTCAGAAACCCTGACTAGGTCCTTATGCGTGGGAGCTGACTGGATGATGGTGTGCCTGGGTTTGGGTTATTATGACAAACGCTCTCCTTGATGTTGTGGTTGAGCATTTACCAGGCACTCTCCATGCTCAGCGGTTTGAGACCACCAGCCACTCCATGGAGAAGGATGGGGCTTTTTACAGCTGTTAACCCGGCGTTGGGAATGCACAGGAGCCCGTTGGCCCTGTCCTATGGGGTCGCTCTGAGTATGAGTCGGCATCGACTCAAGGGCAGGGAGAGTTTGACCCGGTTCTTAATGGGGTGAATGAGAACTTGAACCCGGGTCACGCGACTCCCAGATCCCCCGCTCTCCACAACCCCGCTACGCGCAAGATCCGGTACAAGAACGGAAGCAGATCAAGACTTACATACGGTTCCTCTCACGGTCATTGTCTCCGTTTAACTCAGCTTCTCTTGTTAGAAGCTAAGACGATGAAGAAAAAGACGAGGGAGAAATGTCTTTATCTTTTCCCACAACCCAAATGAAGTCTGAGAAAATTCTGTAGTTATTAGCTGGCAAACACAGTAGAAATGTCAAATGATAATAGTAAAGCATTTGACATGTTCCAATTCTAGTTTTAGGCAGATGTTTCCTCTCATTTTCTGGTCTCGGAGGAGAAAAGAGTGCATGTTCCACATCAGACGCTCTGCTGCAAATTGATATTTCAGATAATCTCGATTCAAAGGAAAACTAAGTCCCAAACATTCCACATGGCAGAATCTTTGCAATATGAACACGTTAGTCACTCTCCCTAGCCTGAGTTACATTATGCGGGTCATTCTGAGTCCTAACTTCACATTAGAATTATCTGGAAATAATATTATTTTTAATCCCAAAGACCTAGTACCATTCAAAGAGCTTCTAGATTTGATCTGAGGTGCAATCCAGGCAGTGATAGTTTTTTAAAACTGGTGGTTTTCAGCATGGAGCAGAGAACTGACTGAGAGGACTGAGAGGCCAGCTCCAATCCCAGTTATGTCAACGCCTTCCTCAGAAGAATGTAGGACAGAGGACAGCACTGAAGATACAGCCCAGGAGAGAGGTAGATCTGCCCAGACCACATGGGAACAAACTAAGAGGGAAAGAGAGAGAGACAGAGACAGAGAGAAAGAGAGAGAGAGAGTGAAACACATCCTGGCCCACCAACCCTTGAGGACAACATTCCTGCTCAGAGCAGTCAGTGCACAGAAAGGACCATAGGGCTGGCCTCACCATGAGACATGGCATTCCATTATTAACCCACAGCACTTTGAGGGAGAGCACTGGACACACAGTGCAGGAATTGTGCCTGGTCTGACACCCCATCCCCATCCCTACCCTCCACTGGGGTGAAACATGAAGGGAGCACAACAGAGCAGCAAGGGGAGCAAAGCAACGAAGTCCCTGAGGAACCCCCAAATAGAC